GAGGCATCTTGAGGCTGTGGCATGATTGGCAGGTTGGATTCCACCACTACACGTTGTTCATACATCTTCAAGTTGACATAAATCTACCTGCCACTGTTCCACACAGTTAAATGCTTTTGCGTAGTCAATGAAACACAAGTAAACACCTTTCTGGTAGCTTTCAGGCAAGACCCATCTGATGTCAGCAATGACATCTCATTTCACATTCTCTTCTGAATCCAGATTGTATTTCTGGAGTCTCTATGTTGAAGTACTGCTGCAATCATTATTGAATTATCTTCTGCAAAATTTTATGTGCACGTGGTCTTATTTCTATTGGTTCATAATTTCTACAGTTTTTTATTGTCAGGTAGCTGTGTTTTAAATTTCTTACATAGAGGAAAGAGTGATTCCTGTGCTTCATCGGCTGGTTGAAACATTTCAGCTGGTGTTATGTCAAATCTTGGAGCCTTGTTTTTTGCTAGTATCTTCAGTACCATTTGGACTTCTTCCTTCAGTACCACCAGTTCTTGATCATATGCTACCTCTTGCTTTGTGTATTCCTTCCATTCTCTTTTGATATTTCCTGCATCATTTGAATTAATGGTTTGGTGAAGAATACTGAAAGCACCATGGACTTCAAGAAGAACTAACAAATCTGTCTCAGAAGAAGTACATCCAGAATGCTCCTGAGAAGTCAGCATGGTGAGTTGTTGTCTCACGTACTTTGGATATGTTATCAGGAGAAACCAGTCCCTGGAAAAGGATATCATGCTTGGGAAAGTAGCAGGGCAGTGAAAAAGAGGAAGACCCCTGTGAGAGATTGAATTATTGACTGCAGCAATGAGCACAAACAGAAAGACTACTGTGAGATGGGGCAGGACTTGGCAGTGTTTCATTCTGTTGGACATAGGTTCTCTGTGAGCTGGAACCTAATTGAGGGCAACTATCAACAACAACAACACACTATCACTCATCCCACTCTCTTCAGGGCTTTCCTGTTTCTATTCCTCCACATTTCCTAAATTCTGTCCCTGGGTGTGTACTGTCCTTTTGATCTTACTTACATGGTTGGTTAGTCTATCAACAGGTTGAGTTCAGTTCCAAACTGTGGGAAAATAAGACTGAGGAAAATATGACTAGGACTATATTCCCTAACTTATAACAGTGGGAATCTGGAAAGCTAGTATTCCACAATAGGAAAGCCACCACTGTGGTATATTATCCTGCTTTAAATATCATTCTCATAGATTCTCCCCTAACAGCTATGCTGCCTTAAAATGAGCACATGTTTGATTCTATCTCTATATAGAAGCAAACATTCTTCTTGTTTCCTCCCACCTCAGCATGCATCCTCCCTCATGCCTTCCCCCCAATGCAGGTATTAGGTTTCCTCACCTGTGAGCTCAGAGACTTTACTGTGGTTACCACCCACCTTGTGATGTATGTAACTACTGAATATGCATGTCTTATGGCTACCTACAAATACCCCAAGACAGTAATGATTGGCTCTCTCCTCCTCCTCTCTGCATGGACCTGGCTGCTGAGTTCATGTCCGTCCAGAGTTGAGCACGCCACCATAAAATGTGCCTGACTCCTTTATTTTATTTTCTCTCTCCTATCTTCTATGACTTTACTATGATCTTTATATATTATACCCGTATAATTGCACCTACGAACCCTGTGATTTTCACAGGCTTGTTTACACTGAATGGACTTGAAAGGTGACTAAAGGCCATTGTCTTGAGGGTCTCTTTGGTAATTTGAGTTTTCATCCATATTTTCCTCCCACTCTATCTAGGATCTTCTAATGAGATTCCTTTTGGAGCACTTAGTGGTAGCTGGGCACATCTGGTTCTGATCAATCACTAACATTAGGTTAGCAATTCAAAGGAAAATAGCTTGCATAACTGAGGGATCCTTTTGGACTATACTTGCATGCTATTGTGACTACAATGAAAGACAAGGAGCCCTGTTTGTGTAGTGGTTACGAGTTGGGCTGCTAATTTTAAGACTAGAACTTTGAATCCATCATTCACGCCACAAGGAAAGATGGAGCATTTTACTTCAGCAAAGATTTAGTCTTGGAAACTCGCAGGGGTAGTTCTACACTGTCCTACAGCGTCACTCTGAGTCCGCATTGATTCGATGGCAGTGAGTTGGGTTTGTTTGTTTGTTTGTTTAACAATTCATGTTTTATCCATGGGGACAGAAAACTTCACATGAAATTAGGTGTACTAGTTACATAATTTCATATTCACTTGATAAATAAGTCTAGGGGTGGTATTTAGCCTGTCAATCAGGTCACAGCTGGATGATGCCTCCTGGTGGACTTGACTTCTCATGAGCATTCTGGGAACTTCCACTCTTTCTCCCTGGAGATGGGCCACTCTCTCTCTCTGCTTCACCTTCCCACTGTTTGGAGAACTAGAAGAGCCATGTGGAGACCTGCGCCAGCACAAAGAAATTCTTCCGCCATTGGATACACAAGAATTTTCAGCCACCGACGTGTGATCTTTCTGCATTCAGCATCATTGCATGTGCTGTGTGAGTCTGAAGAGGAATTTATGGACTAGCATTGGACTTATGGGATAATATCAGACTTATGGACTTGATCTGGACTGGGCTGGGATGTTTTCTTGATATCTAATTACTCTTTGATATGAAGCTCTTTCTTACACATCATGAGTGTCCCTGGATTTGTTTCTCTAGCTTACCCAGTCGAACAGGGCAGGTATTTCAAGAGAAGTCCCCTTTTAGTTGCGGAGTCTAGCCTCTGTTTTCCAAGATTTAAGAACTGGGAACATAAATCAGTTTAATTCAGTAAGTATTTGCTGATAAGTGACTTTTCTCAATTCCTGATAAAGTTAGGCGACAGAGTTTTCTCTGTACAGTCTGCAGAAAAATCTGACCAAATTGGGAAATGTGACAAAGTGTTGCAATTCTAATATCTTCATTTTCAGCCAGCAATTTTGGAATCTGACTAGAACTTTCAGAAAGGAATTATCTAGTATAAGAGGCATAAAGAAGCATAATCCTTATGGATGCACATTAATAGGGAAATGCTTCACTTTGATCTGTCCCATAAGCACCTGTTCTGAGAGACCCAGCATGCAAGAGTTATTTGGAGGAAGAAAATTTAAATTGCGGACCTCTCAATTTGGAAGAGTCTACAAACATTCTGCACATTCACTTGAAACCATTGGATTTACAGAACCTCTGGTGAGTGATAAATTAAATGAGCAGAGTGCGATAATCATGATAAGCATCATTGAACTGAACTGTCACGTTTAACTGCCCCAATAGCATTCAAGCAAAACAAAGCAAGATAAAAATACAAACTCCAACTCTAAGGACAGTCAAGTTTAACAACCGCCCCACCCCCTTTCCTCCCATCAATTTTTAGAGCTCCTGCTTGTTTTATTCTTAAATTTTGTTACATTGACATAATTCCCCTAGACCATATGATGCCAGGTACTTCTCTTTTCCTAAAGGCAGTCATACACGACAATGCTTTGGGGTGCAGAATGGTCCTTCACCTCAAAGGTCACTAGTTTCGGTTCTTGCTTCAGCCCCATTACCACCATGGCATTGTTGGAAGGCTGGGTGGTTCGCGTTAGTTAGGAGCATGCCCCATCCGGGGAATCTGATCACAGGCTTACACACGTACATTGTACATTGTTTTATGTCCCCCAAGGCGCTGGGGGAAAGTACCTTTTCTGCCCACAGGGGGAAAGTACCTTTTCTGCCCACAGGTGCCTCGGCTATGATTACCTGAGCCGATGCAGCTGCAGCCTCATCCAGGGCAGAGGGCCCATTGCTGGCCGACCTCCTCTCCCTGGCTCCTCCCCACGCCGCCCCAGGCCCCGCCCCGGCCCAAACAGCACCGCCCCTCCCCACTTCCCCAGGCACCTGGGTGTGTGCAGCCGCTTCAATGGGCGGGTCCAGAGCCGCCTCAAAGGTGAAGTGAAGGCGGACACCCTGACCCCGCCGGCTCCTCCCTCCCCGGGTCGCTCTGAGGCGGGGCGGAAGTGGCGGGGTCCTACCCGGAACTGCGGCTTATTGGGCGGGTCCTACTTACAGTGCGCAGCGCGTGGGGCCAGAGAAGCTCCGCCGCGGGAGCACCTTGTAGCCCGCCCTCCCAGGTGAGGGGCGCTCGTCTCCCGGGACGTGCGTGTGGGCGGCGGCCAGTGTGGGGTACCCTGGTGCACACAGCAACCCTGCTGGGGTGCAAGCGCCCTCTCTCTCCTCCTCCCCTTCCCCGTGCGGCGCCCCTCTGGTGGTGTGAGTTGAGCGGGTGTCCCTGGAGCCTGATCCCATCCCCCAGCTTTTGGATTAGTTGGGGTTCCTGGTGGGAATCCTGTTGGGAGAAAGGGGTAATCCCAGGCTGGGGTTCTTTTCTTCGGGGTTCCCAGGTTCGTTGCCTTGTGGGTTTCTGCTAACCACCTTTCATTGTTTCCTTTCCATACAGAGGTGCCTTCTCCTGGGGACTCCTTGCACCTCTTCAGCTCAAAGGTTAGCCCCGGGGTCTGTTGTTTCTCTCACTAAGAAGAAGAGATCCCGTCTCAGGAAGCAGTGGCAGCAGCCGGTGTACAACACGTTAGGACTTCCTCCTGAGGATTGCTAAGTCTTGTCACCTGTGCGGTACCTCCCGGGAGCGGGGCAGGGGGAGAACCCAAGGCCCAGGTCTGGAAACTCCCTGGGTCTTCGTGCCAGCTGGTGTGTGGCCGCAGGGAGCACACTCAGGCTTGTGGGTGTTGAAGTAGGTTAGAGAAACAAATCCATAGAAACCCACATGTATAAGAGTTTTATATAAAGAGTAATTGTACATTAAGAAAACATCCCAACCCAGTCCAGTTCAAGCCTATAAGTCTGATATTAGCCCATATGTCCGATACAGACTTAAGAAACACATGCAATGACGGTGAATGCAGAATGATTACAGATCAGTGAGTAGAAAGTCTTTGGATCCAGTTATAGTGTAAGTATCTCAGCATTGGCAGGGGTCTCTGTGTGGCTTCTCTAGTTCCCAGGGCATGGGTCTATCAGCGTAGTGCCAAACAATTATATAACTACCACAGTAAGCAATGGCATAAAATACCTCTAGTTTGTTTACTGGCAAACTTCAATTCACTGGGTCTTAAATCAGTTATTCAAAGGGGAAAACTGATTTTCTTATGTAATGTGTGACTGCAGTACAAATTAGACAATAGCTCAAGTGGTCACCAGGTGGTATATGTGATTTGAAAATTATTCAAGATCTCAATAATTTCTTTTTAATCTATAAAATATATTCTGATATTCCACATAACAAGTTTCTCTCTCCTTCGTGCTCAACCTTGTTTATGTCAGAATTGTTCCACTATGCAAGTCTTACTGGTTCAGGAAAATGTTCCTCTTTCAGACTAAGAATCAGTCTTTGATCATTTTGATCACGCTTTGCCACCAATTTCAGTGCCTATTGTCTCTGACCAAACTGCTGCTGTGCCTTCTTTCTCCCCTCTGCCTTACAACCCCCTTCAGGTCTCTCCAACCCCCCTGGATACTGCAGCATTCTCCCAGTTGCCAGACTATAACCCTATAACTCGTGCTGTCATATCTCATTCTTCTTCAGCCTTCCTCCTCACCACTACCTCTGAGCCTACAAGCTATAATTCAATATCCCCTAAACTGTTACCTCATACAATTTCTACCCAAACTCCTCTCTTGCCCATACCATGATTGTCCACTCCTCCCACCTCTCCTCTGTCACCAGTTCCCCTCCGACCCTTGCTATGTTGTAAGACATCTGATACCTGTCCCCTACTGCCAGCACCACTTCTGCCTCTCACCCTTTTTTGTTCAGCTCTCTCCAGTATAAAGACAGCTTCTTCAAACCCAAAGGCTCCATCCTCAAATCCTGCCCACCTAATTCCCCTCTGAAGTTGCAAGAATAGCTAGGCTAGTAAAAGTTCATATCCCTTTCTTGTTAAATTATTTATCAGTCTTAGGAAAACGTCTCGGGTGTTATACATTGGATCCAGACACTTACATTAAAGAATTTAAATATCTTACTTAGTCATATGATCTTACCTGGCATGACATCCATGATTTTAATAACTATCTTGACCCCTGAAGATAGTCTGGGTAGCCACACAAAGAGAGGTGATGAAGGGCATGCCCAGAACAGGGATAAGGCCATGGACTTCAAGGCAGTGCCCAGCACAACCCTAATTGGAATTATCAGATGGTCGTGAGGACCTTATTCTTCAAAATGATAATGATTTGTATCTCATTGAGGGCTTGGCGAAAGCCTCAAATAAGGCAACCAATTATGACAAAATTAGGAAATCATTCAGGAACCAAATGAAAATCCTGCCAAATCCATCTTCCAGAAAGGTTTACTTACGTATACCAAAGTAGACCCTACTACACTAGAAGGGATCATTGTACTTCACTCAAATTTCATCTCACAATCAGCTCCAGACATTAAAAGAAAACTGAAAAGGTTAGAATGTGGACCCCAGACTTCACAGCAAGATCTTCTCAATGCTGCATTCAAAGTTTTCAACAGTAGGGAGGATCAGGAAAAGTTATATAAGCTACAATGAGATAAGGTTAAATGTCAAATGTTAGCAAGCGCCCTCCAGGGCAGAGTGAGTGTGTCTAAACTAGTTATTGGGCCACACACAAGTGTGCCACGAGGACCCTGCTTCAAATGCTCCCATTTCGGGCATTGGGCAAATGTATGCCCTAATCTGTGACCTCTAAGAAGTCCATGTCCATACTACAAACAGAAAGGTCATGGGAAATGACTGCCCAACTCGACAGAAAGTGGGTGGGATAGTTTATCCCACTAGACCTCCGGAGCAACCTGCTCAAGATGCCTCAGTGTTAGAGCTGCTTGGCTTGACCTTGGTGGATTGATGGTACCCAGAGTGTAAGGCCCCACTGAAGATCACCCATCTCGAGCCCAGGTAACTATCATGTCTCAAGAAAGCCCATTACTTTCCTATTAGTACCTGGATATGAGATACAGCTTTCTCATCGTTTCTTTCTTCCTGCAAAGGTTCTGCTGATTGAGAAACTATGCCTGCCCTTTCCTTTTTCCCTTTCTGAAAAAGATTTGCAGCTACAAGTTTTATGTTCTTCCTCTTCAGATTGAAGACTTCATACATAAACAAACCGAAGACAGTTGCTTCTGGACATCATTTCAGATTTGTTCTGGCCTGTGCCAGTTAGATATTTTTATGAATGTATACCTAGCCTTTCCGTGATTTTCTTTTGCTAAAGGTCAGGAGAGGTAAGTTTGATTACATTTTGTCAGTGATTACTCCCCTGCTACCCTAGGCACCATCAAGGGATTTAAAGGAAATATATTTTTGTTTATTATCTACCTTTTGAGAAATGTCCTGCAATAAAAGAAGTATTGTCATAATTCTGTGCTTCTGGGACATCCTATTCACTTTAACACAAGACGCTTTAAACTATTAAATATTTTAGAAAAACTTTATGCAGTTTAAATGTCATCCAAGACATCTACTCTAGCAAAGTTAATACTTTGGTGTTTTTCTGTCCCATTGGGAACTCTCAGAAAAAATACGATATTTATTGTTGTTGTTTTTAATATTGCAATTGTGTTGAAGAAAAGTTTACAGTATGGCCATGTTTGTTACTGTAATTTCTGGTAATAAGAATGTAAATCCTTTTTTTCTCCTCTCTTTTTTACTTTCAACCCAAATAGTAACATTCATTATAAAACCAGAAATGAGAAACAACCTAAATGTCTAAAAAGAAATAAATTGTGGTATACATCAAATCCTTCTGGGATATTCATTTATGTGTACAGTGGAACAGTGAGCATTCTAAAAGTATCCAGCCATAATTGCCGCTGTATAATAGGAAGATATGCAAATAGACACACACACCCCCCACCTTCTGCTAATAAAATCCACACCATTCCCAACCATTCAGCTCTGGGAGAAGATCCTCAGTACCATAGTCCCCAGGTAACCCCATTCAGTAGTTTGTATGAACACAGAGTCATCTTACTCAGGTATTTTAACAGTTCATTCTATTGAGAGCTAGTGTGTGTGTGAGTGGGTATAAGTAAGAGACTGGAAATGTGTGATGACCAGCATATATTTTGTTTGCAAGTGTCAACACTAATGTGCAACTGCTTGGATCTGAAGGAGACTTGAGGGAGCATAAGATGTCTTTGAGATCCTTTTGTGCAATCTTTGGATTCACTTTTTGTAGCACTGCCATGACCTGTTATCAGCCATGCTCCCAGCCTACAGTGGGTCTCATATATTAGTACTGTTGCTATCATGTATTATACAGATTCCTTGAAAGCTGGTGTACCATCTCTAGAAACATTGCCAAGAGTACACTGTATCAGTGAATGGACACTCTAAAAGTCAATCTCACATCCATGTATTACGGTGGGGAAGACACACTGAGGGAAGTCAGTGTGAGTACAGATACAAACCAGGCATGCAGGGAGGGAGCTGTGTTGCAGGGCGCTGTAAGGCCTGAAAAGAAAGAAGGATTCTGACTCTGGAGCATTTGGAGAGGAAGGTTCAAGTCTGGTTTCCTGTTTCGATCCAGGGTTCTACATCTCACAGTTTCCTACTTGGAATCTATAGTTTTTATTATTCAGTGCCTACCTTTAGTATCTGTGAATTCAAAGTTGAAAGAAGAGAAAACATTAAAAACAAATGAGCTTGTTCCATACGGAGTGGATATTACTCTGCCAGGGGTGATCAGCGTACGTTTTGAGAAGGTCAGTGTGTTAATCTGGTGGACTGAAGAAACAAAATCATAGACACCCCTATGTGTATAGAAAGAGCTTTATATAAAGAGCAATTGGAAATTGAGAAAACATACCAGCCCAGTCCAGATCAAACCTGCAAGTCCAATATTAGCCCATATGTCTGATACCAGTCTGTAAATTCCTCTTCAGACTCATGCAATACATGCAACAATGCAGAGTACAGGCAGATCACAGGCTAGTGGGTGGAAGGTTTTGTGTATCCAGTGGCATTGAAAACATCTTAGTCCTGTAGTGGGTCTCCACGTGCCTCCTCCAGCTCCAAAGCTCTGGCTGCTATTTACATAGTTCCATGTGGCTTGTCAAGGGGAATGCCTTTCAGGGAGAGAGTTTATCTGGGCTCCAGTGAGCTATTTATCTTCTCTGCACCTCCAAATGAGGTCATTAAGCTGCGACCTGATTAACAGACTAGACTTCATTCCTTTGTAAGTTGACAGGAGATCATGTGACTGCCACAGTCAGAATATCTTTCAGGCAGACTCAGTGGAGTCTCTTGGTGCTGTTAAGGACTCAACTAATGGCTATAAAGTTGGTGTCATTTATTCAAGTATAATATATTGAAAAAAGTTGTTTTTCACCCAAACTAAAGTTCTGCTAACACTGATCATTTCCAACTCAAAATAATGCTGTAGGACAGCCTAGAGCTTCTTTAAGATTTCCCATCCTGTACTTTCTTATGAGATTATTCTACCACAAATTTCTCCCACAGAGCAGTTGGTGGGTCTGAATGATTGACTTTTCGTTTAACAGCTGGGCAAGTCACCACTGTACAACCAGGGTTGGTAGTTCTAACCTATCCATCCAGGTGAAATTTTTAACATTATATTCTGTCAAATAATCATCATAGTTTAAAATTATGTATTTCAGAAAGCCTTGCTGTTTTTCTTCCTGACTCTTCCCTTAGTTCAGGGGTCAGCAAATTTCTGTTTTGAAAAGGCCTGAAAACCATAATTTATTATTCCATTGTTCATATCAGTGTCTCTCAATCTATTTATCCGGCTCACCGTATTTTTTTTTCCTGTTAAAAACAGCACTCGTTTTGCAGGAAGACCCGGGGTAAGATGCTGGTAAATTTATTAACCTCTGTTTTCTCACATTCACATGTATAAAGCGCCTAGCTCCATGCCAGGTTCACAGCTGAGAATAAGGTGCTAGCTCTCAGGGGCTCAATGGTTGCAGCAAAATAACGAGGTTCTTCAAAATCCAGGCTTGTGCCGCTTACCATATTTTGAGATGACACCCCCATTATCGATTTGGATCTCGCTAAATGTGAGCCTTTTAAAATTCCTGGAAACTTCACTCATGCCAGGTGGACGAGGGTTACGTCACTGTCCCTAGCAGCAAGCCCTGGAAAGAAGCCACTAACTGTATCCCAGGCAGTAAGCTTTGGCATCTCCTTCTGCGTACAGGGTTCCATTTGGCGACAAGGGCACAGCATCCCTTAAGCCAAGAGGGCGGGAGGGTCGCCTCTGGGTGCCGGAAGAGCCCGAGTGCCAGGGGCCGCTCTCACTGCGCTGACCCCTGGGCTGGCGCGACCTCGCGAGGGCGCAGCCGGCCGGGCGCGGTCGGTTTGTTGGTGAAGGGTTGCCATTGGCCCTGCACACTCGGGTTGTCTGTGTGGAAGGGCTTGAGGATGCGGATCACTTCGAGGCCCGAATGGTTGGCCAGTTTCTACACCAGCGCGGCGATCTCTGGGGGGACTTGCAGTGGACGCTCTCCTCGCGCACGGCCCAGTTCAAGTATTCCGCCACCACTGTGGGCACGCAGCATGGCCGAGGGGTCACGTAAATCATGACCCCTGGGTTCCGCCAGGCGAAGTCGGTCACCTCCCGTTCCACGAACTCCCTGGCTCCGCGGGACAAGGGCCCGTCGCGGCTGAGAGGGATGCTGAGATGCTGCAGCTGCTGCACTTAACGACCCAGGCCATTGTGGAGAACACTCCTGAGGAAGCGGCTGGCAGTCCCACGCGCCGTGATGGCGACCGCTTGTGGCCCGCTGAGTCCGGCGGGGCCGGGAGGGGGCAGGGCCCCTCACCGGGTGTTTTTGCCACCTTTGCCTGCCCTGTTTAGCAGCCGACTGGTCCTGGGACCGCAGTGCACATGTGTGGAATGTGCGCTGCACTCTCCCACTCCCCTCCTCCTCTCTGTCTCTGACTCCTATTCTCAGTCTCAGGTGTGATCCAAAGAGTTGAGCTTGCCTGTGCAGAGCCTGCTGCTGCCTGAGGACCTAGGTAAGAACAAGTTAGGATTTTTTTTTTTTAAGTTAGGAGGTCTATTTTTTTTTTAATTTTGCAGTTACTAGGGCCTTTTTTTGC